GGCTATTCCTCCCTTCGCTTTTTAAGTCAAATCCTCAAGTGTCAAGATAAAGCCTTTTGCCTAAATGGAAATTGAATCCCCTTGTCATATCACTCAGGAAAGAGAGAGAGAGAGAGAGGAAGAGAATAAGATAAATGGTATCAGAGAGAAAGAAAGAGAGAAAGAAAGAGAAAAAAAAAAAAAGAAAACAGAAAACAGAAAAAAGAAAAAAGAAAAGGCAAAAAAAAGAAAACAGAAAAAAGAAAGAGAGAAAGAAAAAAAAACAGAAAACAAGAAAAAGAAAAAAAAGAAGAAAAAAGAAAACAGATAAAAGAAAGAAAGAAAGAAACAGAGAGAAGAGATAAGGGTAATGAAAGACGAGAGAAGTGATATCAAAAGAATGTAAGATGTTGAAAAAAAAAGGAAAACACTCTTATCTTTAAAAGGAATAGCAATTCACTTGTAATCTTCTTCTTCTCCCTATCTCTCCTTTCGTATCCCATACCCAATTCTTCGAGCGTCCAGAGAGGTAAAAGGAAAATTAATCCACTTGTCACGTCGGAAGAGAGAGGAAGAAAAGGATAAAAAATGGTAACAAAAAGAAAGAAAAAATAGAGAAGGGAGGGAGGAGGAAGAAAAGAGAATAAAAAATGGTAACAAAAGAAAAAAAATATAGAGAAGGAGAGAGGAGGAAGAAAACAGAATAAAAATGGTAACAAAAAGAAAAAAAAATAGAGAAGGGAGAGAGGAGAGGGGTAAGAGAGAAAAGAAAACGATATAAAGAGAATGTAAATAAAAAAAACAATAGAGAGAGAAGGGAGTGAGGAGGGGTTAAGAGAGAGAAAAAAAACGATATAAAAAGAATGTAAATAAGAAAAAAAAATGTTTTTTAAAAGGAATGGCAATCCACTTATCACGCCACACAAGAGAGAGCGCAGAAGGAGATAAACATAGAAAAAAGAGATAAAAAATAAATATATTTCATTCAAAAACATATTAGTCAAGTTGCTACGTCATGTGAAGACAGAAAAAAGAACATAGACGATATAATTAACAATAAAACAATATTATACCTTTATCGATATAATAACAAAAATATGATATATAAAAAACTACATTTAAAAAATCACAAAACATATTAAGAACATAAATATGATATATATAAAAAAACTACATTAAAAAAATCACAGAAAAGAACAGAAATATGATATATAAAAATCACATTAAAAAAGAAATAACAAAACATAACTAGAACAATAAAATATGACATATAAACAAGTACATTCAAAAAAGAAATAACAAAACAAAAAGAACAAAAAAAATATGATACATAAAAACCATAATCAAAAAAACAAATCACAAAACACGTTTATTTCGAGAAGAATATCAAAGCCCTCCTCACGCCGAGCCAAAGATAGAACGTCGACTTTCCCGCCCTCTGATGCCAAAGATAGAACGTCGACTTTCCCGCCCTCTGATGCCAAAGATAAGAACGTCGACTTCCGCTTCCGATGCCAAAAGATAGAACGTGACTTTCCACCTCGATCCAAAATAGAACGTCGACTTTCCACCCTCGATGCCAAAGATAGAACGTCGACTTCCCGCCCTCGATGCCAAAGATAGAAACGTCGACTTTCCGCCCTCTGATGCCCAAAGATACGTCGACTTTCCCGCCTCTGATGCCCGTCGACTTCCCGCCCTCTGATGTCAAAGATAGAACGTCGACTTCCCGCCCTCTGATGCCAAAGATAGAACGTCAACTTTCCCGCCCTCTGATGCCAAAGATAGAAACGTCGACTTTCCCGCCCTCTGATGTCAAAGATAGAACGTCGACTTCCCGCCCTCTGATGCCAAAGATAGAACGTCGACTTCCCGCCCTCTGATGCCAAAGATAGAACGTCGACTTTCCCGCCCTCTGATGCCAAAGATAGAACGTCGACTTCCCGCCCTCTGATGCCAAAGATAGAACGTCGACTTCCCGCCCTCTGATGCCAGATAGAACGTTCGACTTCCGCCCTCATGCCAAAGATAGAACGTCGACTTTTCCCGCCCAAAGATCGTCGATGATGCCAAAGATAGAACGTCGACTTTCCCCGCCTCTGATGCCAAGATAGAACGTCGACTTTCCCCGCCCTCTGATGCCAAAGATAGAACGTCGACTTCCCGCCCCTCTGATGCCAAAGATAGAACGTCGACTTTCCCGCCCTCTGATGCCAAAGATAGAACGTCGACTTTCCCGCCCTCCGATGAAGATAGAACGTCGACTTTCCCGCCCTCTGATGCCAAAGATAGAACGTCGACTTTCCCGCCCTCTGATGCCAAGACGTCGACTTTCCCCCCTCTGATGCCAAAGATAGAACGTTCGACTTTCCCGCCCTCTGATGCCAAAGATAGAACGTCGACTTCCCGCCCTCTGATGCCAAAGATAGAACGTCGACTTTCCCGGATGCCAAAGATAGAAACGTCGACTTTCCCGCCCTCTGATGCCAAAGATAGAAACGTCGACTTTCCCGCCCTCTGATGCCAAAGATAAGAACGTCGACTTTTCCCGCCCTCTTGATGCCAAAGATAGAACGTCGACTTTCCCGCCCTTGATGCCAAAGATAGAACGTCGACTTTTTCCCGCCCTCCGATGCCAAGATGAACGTCGACTTTCCCTCCCTCTGATGCCAAAGATAGAACGTCGACTTTCCCGCCTCCTTATGCCAAAGATAGAACGTCGACTTTCCCGCCCTCTGATGCCAAAGATAGAACGTCGACTTTCCCGCCCTCTGATGCCCAAAGATAGAACGTCGACTTTCCCGCCCTCTGATGCCAAAGATAGAACGTCGACTTCCGCCCTCTGATGCCAAAGATAGAACGTCGACTTCCGCCCTCTGATTGCCAAAGATAGAACGTCGACTTCCCGCCCTCTGATGCCAAGATAGACGTCGACTTCCCGCCCTCTGATGCCAAAGATAGAACCGTCGACTTCCCGCCCTCTGATGCCAAAGATAGAAACGTCGACTTTCCCGCCCTCTGATGCCAAAAGATAGAACGTCGACTTCCCGCCCTCTGATGCCAAAGATAGAACGTCGACTTTTCCCCCTCTGATGCCAAAGATAGAACGTCGACTTTCCACCCTCTGATGCCAAAGATAGATCGTCGACTTTCCCGCCCTCTGAGCCAAAGATAGAACGTCGACTTCCCAACTTCGATCTCCAAAAATTAGAACGTCGACTCCGCCTCTGATGCCAAAGATAGGAACGTCGACTTTCCCGCCCTCTGATGCCAAAATAGAACGTCGACTTCCCGCCCTCTTGATGCCAAAGATAGAACGTCGACTTTCCGCCTCTGATGCAAAGATAGAACGTTCGACTTCCCGCTCTGATCTCCGAAATTAGAAACGTCGATTAACCTCGTCTCCAAAATTAGAACGTCGACTTCCCGCCCTCCGATGCCAAAGATAGAACGTCGACTTTCCCGCCCTCTGATGCCAAAGATAGAACGTCGACTTCCCGCCCTCTGATGCCAAAGATAGAACGTCGACTTCCCGCCCTCCGACTTCCAAATTAATAAACGTCGACTTCCCAACCTCGATGCCAAAGATAGAAACGTCGACTTCCGCCCTCGATGCCAAAGATAGAACGTCGACTTCCGCCCCTCCGATGCCCAAAGATAGAACGTCGACTTTCCCGCCTCCGATGGCCAAGATAGAACGTCGCTTCCGCCCTCCGATGCCAAAGATAGAACGTCGACTTCCCGCCCTCTGATGCCAAAGATACAACGTCGACTTCCCAACCTTCGATCTCCAAAATTAGAACGTCGACTTCCCAACCTTCCGATTCTCCAAAAATTAGAACGTCGACTTCCCGCCCTCTGATGCCAAGATAGAACGTCGAGATGCAAAGATAGAACGTCGACTTTCCCGCCCTCTGATGCCTAGAACGTCGACTCCCGCCCTCGATGCCCAAAGATAGAACGTCGACTTTCCCGCCTCTGATGCCGTCGACTTTCCCGCCCTCTGATTGCCAAAAATTAGAACTCGACTTCCCGCCTCCGATGCCGTCGAGATGCCCAAGAAGAACGTCGACTTCCCCCTCGATGCCAAAGATAGAACGTCGACTTCCCGCCCTCCGATGCCAAAATTATAACGTCGACTTCCCCCCTCTGATGCCAAAGATAGAACGTCGACTTTCCCGCCCTTCGATGCCAAAATTAGACGTCGACTTCCCGGCCTCCGATGCCAAAGATAGACGTCGACTACCCGCCCTCTTTGATGCCAAAGATAGAACGTCGACTTTCCCGCCCTCTGATGCCAAAGTAGAACGTCGACTCCAACCTTCGATCTCCCAAAAATTTAGAACGTCGCTTCCCGCCTTCTGATGCCAAAGATAGAACGTTCGACTATCCGCCTCCGATGCCAAAATATAGAACGTCGACTTTCCGCCCTCCGATCTGATCTCCAAAAGGCTTTTCAATAATCACAAAACACTCGAGGCTTTAGATTCGTGCCAATCCTATTCTTGGGTCGGTGTTCCTTGTTCTTGGGCTTTGGTTGTTCTTTAGCTGTTTTAATTGACTTGGAGTTTGTTTATGTTTTGAAACGGGGGTGTTCTCGGTATCTGTTCGTGGTCTGTTGTCTGCTGTTATTTGTGTTCTTTAGCTGTTCTGAACCTGTAGTTTGTTATATTTTGAAACAGGTGTTCTCGGCAGCTGTTCATGGTCTATTGTCTGCTGTTATTTGTTCTTTAACTGTTCTTGACCTGTAGTTTGTTATATTTTGCCACAGGTGTTCTCAGCACTTGTCCATGGTCTCTATTCTACTGTTATTTTTGTTCTCTACCTGTTCTTGACCTGTCGCTTACCATATTTTTTTCTTTTTTACTTGTTCTTGTCCTGTCTTCTGTTATGTATCCGCTGTTTGTCATATAACTGTCATTATCAGCATTTAACTACCTATCGCCTGCCACCTGTTACTCGCCGTGCCACCTGTTAAATGAACTTTTAGAAGTCGCATGTTCTTGACCTGTTATCTACTTCTGTTCTAGTCTCCTGCTACCTGTTCTTCGCATAGTCCTGACCCGCCACCTGTTCTCTACAAGCGCGTGGCACTCTGTCTTGTTCCGTGGCACTGGAATGGCTCCTTCGCGTCTTGTTCTTGTGATCGCCAGATTCTGTGGCCGTGAGTTTTATTAGCAATGTATTCTTTACAAAATCGGATTTCTCCTTTTTTTACGTTTGTCCATCTTCTCCGTCTTTCTTTTCATTTTTTTTATTTTTCTTTCTTTCTTTCTTTCTTTCTTTCTTTCTTTCTTTCTTTCTTTCTTCTTTCTTTCTTTCTTTCTTTCTCTCTTTCTCTCTTTCTCTCTTTCTCTCTTTCTCTCTTTCTCTCTTTTCTCTCTTTCTCTCTTTCTCTTTCTCTCTTTCTCTCTCTCTTTCTCTCTTTCTCTCTCTCTCTCTCTCTCTCTCTTCTCTCTCTCTCCTCTCTCTCTCTCTCTCTCTTACATACTCACTTCTTTGGAGGAGGTTTGGCAAGGAGGAGAGAGAGAGAGAAGGAGAGAGTGAGAGGACGAGGAGAGAGAGAGAGAGAGAGAGAGAGAGAGAGATAGAGAGAGAGAAGAGAAAGAGGAGAGGAAAGAGAGAGAGATGAGAGAGAGAGAGAGAGAGAGAGAGAGAGAGAGAGAGAGAGAAGAGAGAGAGAGGAGAGAGAGAGAGAGAGGAAGAGAGAGAGAAGATGAAGGGGAAGGGATGAGTAAACAATGAATAAATGCAATATAAGATCGATGATGCAAGAAGTGAGAAGTAGAAAGTGGAAAAGAAAAGTAGAACGTAAATATTAATAGCAAAGGAAAGAGGTTTCTAAACATCAACAAAAATACAAAACAAAGTATACAGTTCAATTGAAAATAAAACAAAACAAAAATAACTATTCAAATAAAAGGTAAACAAAAAACGACCTTAAACTCAACTGTTGCATCACTGAATCACTATCAACTAATTTCCTTTTCAGAATTTTCCGTTCTCTCTCTCTTCCTCTCTCTTTTTCTTCCTTTTACTATATTTCTTTTTCTTATTCTTCCCACTCGCTTTTTCGTTTTTTTTTTTCTCATCCTTCTCTCTCTTCCTCTTTCCTTACCATCCTCCCTCTTCCATATTTCCTCGCTTGCAATCTTCCCTATTTCTCTTCTTCCTTCCTTCCCTCCCTCCTTCCTTCCTTCCTTCCTTCCTTCCTTCCCTCCTCCCTTCCTTCCTCCTCCCTCCTCCTTCCTTCCTTCCTTCTTTCCTCCTTCCTTTCTTCCTCCCTCCCTCCCTCCCTCCTCTCTCCCTCCCCCCTCCCTCCCTCTCTCCCTCCATTCCTCCCTCCCTCCTCCCTCCCTACTCCCTCCCTCCCCTCCCCACCCTCCCTCCCTTCCCCACTCTACCCCCCCCTCTCTCTCTTTCCTTTCCTTACACTCCATTTCTTTTTCCTTCTTTTTTTTTCTTCTTCTCCTCTCGCTATCTCTCCTTTCGTGAGGGTTCGTCCGGCTCTCGTAAGATACGTTGCAGACGACTTTTTGCAATAGATTACGTCATGATCAGCTGATCCTTCCTCTCGTCTGCTTAGCAAGTCTTCCCTTTCTTTAATTTTGAAGAAACGAAGATGATAAATAAGTCAAGAGGGATAAAGAGAAGAAACAAAGATGATAAATACGTTAAATATGGGTAGATAGAAGAAAGGAAAAGAATAAATACGTTAAATAATAAGAGAATAAATAAATGTTTGAAATAAAATAAGTCTGCTTAGCAAGTTTTTTCCTTTCTTTAATTTTGAAGAAACGAAGAAAATAAATATATTAAGTAGGGATAGAGAGAAGAAAGGAAGAGAATAAATACGTTAAGGAGGGATAGATAGAAGAAAGGAAAAGAATAAATACATTAAATAGGGATAGAGAGAAGAAAGGAAGAGAATAAATAAATGTTTAAATAAATAAGTCTGCTTAGCAAGTTCTTCCCTTTTCTTTAATTTTAAAGAAACGAAGAGAATAAATAAGACAAGTAGGGATAAAGAGAAGAAACAAAGATGATAAACGTTAAGTAAGGATAAAGGAGAAACGAAGATGATAAATACGTTAAATAGGGATAATGAGTGAGAAAAGGATGATATAAAATAGATTAAGTAGGGATAGATAGAAGAAAGGAAGAGAATAAATAAGTCAAGGAGGGATAGAGAGAAGAAACGAAGAGAATAAATAAATTGTATAGATCAATAAGTCTGTTTAGCAAGTTCTTCCATTCTTTAATTTTGAAGAAAACGAAGAATAAATAAAAGACAAGTAGGATAAAGAGAAGAAATGAAGATGATAAAATACGTTTAAGTGAGGATAAAGAGGAGAAACGAAGAGAATACATTAAGTAGGAATAAAGAGAAGAAAAGAAGATGTAAATACGTTAAGTAAGAATAAATAGAAGAAACGAACAGAGTAAATACAGTAAGTAGGAATAAACAGAAGAAACGAAGAGAATAAACACATTATGTAGGGATAAAGAGGAAGTAAAAAG